ATCAGACATTCGCCTTTCCAATAAGCCTTCGAAATTTTTTAGAATAGTCTGAATCTTTTTGTCGTCGTTTAGTGCTTTTTTCCGTTACTAAGGAAGCCGGGAAGAGCTGTCTGACGCTTGTTGTTTTCGGTCGCTAGGATCTCGAGGAAAATGGGAGAGTCGCAAAAATCTTGATTTAATCTAACACTCATTATTTTCTTCTCAAGTGTTTGTGAGTCCTTAACGATTTTCAATTATTTTTATTTTTCATTCAAATATTTTCTTTTAGAAATGTTTAAATCAATAATAATGAGGGAAAAATTCAAGATCATAATTGACTTAATTATAGAAAGATGTGTTTGGTGACAGTGATCGACGCGAATGTACTTGTCAAAAAAAAACAAACTATCAATGTAACTGAATTCTTTGTTTCAAATAGATGTAAAAATGCTTTAGTAGAAACACTATTTGTAGAAACTCTTAATGAGAAGTTTATTTATTAATTATTGTGAAGTAAACTTATACAAAGAATTCGTGTGGATTTTAGCATAGGATGGAGTAGATTAATCCTAATCAATAACATATATCGTCTGATTAACAATCATGAAACGAATTTTGTTTATATTCTTTTTCGTAAATTCACTATGAACAAAATGAAATCTCTTATGATAAAAAGAAAAGTTCAATGAAATCATCGATTAAAAGCTTATCACTAAAAATAATCAATACTATAAAATTAATAAATATTCCAAAAATAAATACGACTTATTCTTGATTAACCAAAATATTCATTAGTGGATCTTCACGAGAAAAAAAATGTTTTATCGAAATGATTGACTTGATTCTAATTTGCAAATATAAGAAAATACTTAATATATGGAAATAAAATTCTTGTTCAATAGATACATATTCATTCGAGATGAAATCTACATGTCTGACTCATGTTAAAAACAAAACTTCGATATTCATTAATTCAAATAAACACTATAAAACAAATTGTTTTCAATTAATTTGAACATTTATTAGCAACGCTGTATTTTTTAATTCAAAAATAACATTGAAAAGTAACCCTTAGCGCGAAAGTCTTGTTACATAATATTCGCTCATTTTAGGGCCACTAAACGGCACCTGATTAGAAACAAAAATTTTCCTTATTTTCTAACATATGTTCAGATTTTTCTTCTGAAATAATACTAAACAACTATCAGTAAACTTTGTGAAAAAAGTGTAAAATTGTTTCGATACAAAGCAGAATAACGATTTTGTCTGAGTCCTCAATTATTGTGTTTTAGAACAGCTTGAATTCAACATTATGGTAGAGCACTCAATTTTTTTTTAGAACGACATATTACAATAAGCGAAATCTCATCTATTTGTTTTTGCTAAATGGGTAGTTTCTATGAATATCAACATTAGTTAAATAATTGCTGTTTAAAAAACTGCTTTAAATAATACAAAAGTGTTAAAATCTATCATGCAATATAAAACAAGAAAAACATTCAAAATAATATACAAGACTGAGCTATAACACACTGATTCGCATTTTCAATTGCATAAGTTGCAATCAAAATAGAAAATTTATCGACATAATATTCTGTTCAAGCACTATTTTGTGTTCATTTAATGAATGCTCATGAATAATAAAAACGTTCAGAATATTTTGGTTTTCTGGAACCTTCTGTTTTGAGAAATTGAAATTGTAATATATTTTCTAACAAAAAGCTGCGGTTAAGTAATCATCTTCTCCGCTGAAAAATGAATTTGACACTTGGAAAGGTTTCCTTGTTCGCTTAAAAGGAAATTCTCGACTAATATTCGGCTAGAGTAAATAAGTCTTATTTTAAATAACTGCCACTAATCATAATCAATTGTTTTTAAGTGATTAAATATGTTGTGCCAAACATTTGGCGCCATAGATTATATCAAAGAATTCGTTTTAGAATCACTTCATTAATAATCGAGTTTTTTAAAAACGAATTTCGAATGAGTACTCGCCATATCCTTACGACCTCGACACTTTTTCTCATTTTGAAATGATCTTTAGATGTGAAGAACGAGTGGATGGCTTCAGTCATGAGTAATGCATCAAGACAAAGAAGAATATTGATGATGATAACTAAGCGAGTTAAAATTAATAACATGAAAAAGTTTGTCTCACAGAACTCTACTTAAAAAGCTGCATCTTTTGGATATCTTTACCAGTTTCTGTTCTAGATGATATCAAAATGAAAGTTTTCGTTCTAGGACAATTTCATACTTCTGGAAAATCAATTTTTGGAAGGTAACTTTCAAGAGTTGACTTTTACTGAAAACTTCGCCACAGATAAAGACTTTAGCATGGACTCTATTTTGAAACTCTTGAACTTTTGCGTCATACGGCTTGTGAACTATTCACTGATCACAATTTAATTAATCAATAAATTAGTTTATTAACTTTAATGAGGCTTCAGCTGAAAGACACTATATGTTTACATATATTTACGATAAAAGAATTCACTCAAAAAGTCATAACCATAAAGAATCAAAATCAAATCGGCGATGGTTATGTCTCGTTTTGGGTGATTTAATCCATATCTTTAATTTCTATTACTAGTATCTTCATCATTATGAGATTTATTACAATGACTATTTTTCTCTTTGTACTCTATCAAACGTCTTCATTGGTATGATAATTGTTTATTTATATTCCCGCTGTACAATATAGAGTAAAGCCGGAATTCGAGAAAAGTACAAAGTACAGATGAGCTTGCAGGCTAATCATATTCTACTCTAGCTTACAATGTTCGGTAAACTTATTTATTATGAGAAAAATATTAGGTAGGCTATAGGAAAGGAAGAAAAATTTTCTGAAACAGGATACTAGATAACGAAAAAAATTCTTTTACCTTTTGATTTATTAACGTTTATAAATAATTTGAACTGTGCATATGTTCGATATGTGATACAACCAATATGAATGATACATCTACACCGAAAATTAAAAATTGCATGTATCAAAATACAACATATCTCGCATTAATAAATCGTACGTATAAGTAGGTGATATTGTATGTGAAGGAAGTTGTCGAATTGCTCTCAGTAAAGAATGGAAATTTTCTTTGAATTATGTTACTTATTAACTATAAGTTCAACGAACTTCATGTCAATCTCACTTGTTTTCGTTTTAATAATGAAAATTTTGATGAATTCAATTTATATTCAACCTTAGAAAATCTTCTGAGTTACATGAGATTAACTTGAGTATTTTCTATTCATTTCGAATAAATTTTTAAAAAAATCTATGAAAATAAATAAATTTTTACAAGTTAAACAGAGATGTATTCATTCTTTACAGAAAACAGATGATTAATTCAAAATATATTTAATTTTATGCTCGACTTTATCATAAAAAGATGTTCAATCAGTACAATCAATATAGTATTTCAATATCTCTTACAGAATCAGAAGAAACATGTTTAGTAAGTGTAAAAAAAGAGAAATTCTTAATTTTATAAAGATCAAAAAGTTAATTGAAAAATTAACTGAAGTTTTTTTTTCTTATATAATCAAAATAATCCTCCATTGATTTATTGTTAATTGTTTTTCTAGTAGTTCATCATTTAAATAATCATATTCATGTTCTTCTATTAATTTTTGTACATTCTCAATGCTTGCTGATATATATATTTACTTATGTCTTCATTTTCTACATGGATGATTATTGATGATGAATCTACTTTTGAATTACATTTTGATTCAAATACAAATATAGAACGATGGACACGAAATTTGGACGATGCATCTAGAATTATTTCATAATCATTGGATTTCTCTTTTACTAAAAATTAAAAAAAAAATCAAGTTGTTCGGAAGCATGTAATCAACAGTACTTAATAGATGCTTTACAAAAGCTTGTCATTGCAGTCTCATGAGAGATCAAGCCGTAGAACGCATATCAATTTAATTATTCATCAAACTTCGCAGCATACTATTCTTTCACTTGACGTACTTTGACATATACCATTGAATTTTCCGTATACTAGAGAATTTCATTAGTTCATACTCTTCTGTGTTCATTATATTCTGACTCCGATAGATCAATAATAGGAATGTGGGTGTATCTTCTTAAACTCCATACCCACACCCATATATTAATAATTGTAACGTGTTTTGTTGAATTCTAATAAAACCTGTTCGGAAACTTTTTTTACGCCTCATATATACATTTTTGAAGTTGACAACGACTGTTTGATTCTAAATACAATCGATAAATAATTTCCAATATTGGATTTATTTTCAACAAACGTTAACAGTTAACGAAGAAAACTTTTCATGTTCTAAATCTTTGTTTTTCATGGAAACTATGTTCATTCGATGAGTACTAGCAAGTGATGAAAAAAGTCTGAAATGATTTAGTTTGCGAAGTCTCTGTTCCAGTATATTGAGGGCTTACTTCTGACTCCGTTTACTACTGATAAAGAAACTCAACTCCTTAGAAGTAATTGATAAGTTATTTTAATTTTCTCGGGCACTAAAAAGTTTAATCAAACCTTTTCTTTCTATAGCTTTGGTTTTTTCTTTAAACAGTGACTCAATTATTATTTGTTGATTGAAAAAAAGTGTTTCTTATATATGCGCATAATGCACGAAACATTGCAATGATTATCTAGTGAACATAGTGCTTTTTAAAGTGTAAAAAATATGATAAAGTACTAAAATGTATTTTTTTTAACTTTTTCTTTATATGATATTCCGAGGTTTTTTATAATACTAGGTAGTTGCTAAGCATGTTGAAGAGAAAACATCTATTTGACACAGATTCAAAATGAACTGGTAGTAGACGAATGCTGTCTTCGAATTTGTCTTCACATATTATTTTACAAGGTGACAAATGATGACCGAACTCTACACATAAGCTTATATCAGAAATGGTATTGTTACAGAAGCATTTTTTAGTATTTCTTGCATACTTCATTCAATCTTATTTATTGACAATACGAAAGAGAAAAAAGAAAGAAAAAAAAGAACGTTCAACTTGTTGTTCACGTATTAACTTTTTTCAAATCAACTTCTTGGTTCTTCTTGTCCCATCGTTCAATATCGTAGCCTCTAGCAACCAAAAAATTCATCACAGTCAAATAGCTTTTTTTCACATACTGAATGCCATTAAAGTTTGATGTGCACACAAGAAAATCACTGATGTGTGATTCAGGCAAATCAGTCCACATTGGATCCACTATGGTGCATAGGGATGTACTGGGTTCTCTCGAATATGAATCAGACCATACCCGTGTTGCTCCACGAAGATGTACACGTGTGATATTGGTCGTTGTTTTTGGTTCAGGCGGATCAAGAGCGCGTGAAGATTTTTCAACAGGCAATAGGTATTTGTCAATGATCGAATCACGAATACCGACAAAAATATCAGGTAGAAGAAGTTGACCATGTCGGTAGAATGTAAGAATTGCAGCAAATATTTGTGGTTCTTCATCAACCGAAAAGAAGCCTTGATCATCTTTGGTCGATTTGAAGTCATGATTGAAGACGAGTTTAGTGAGATAGGAATCAGGATAGGGTTTGAGCATGACACCAAGAATTGTTTGCACTGATCCATCACACAATTTGAAGCGAACATAAAGCTCCTCTGCCATAATTCGAAATTGAAAGATAGATGCTTAGAATGTGAGATACTGTTTAAATATGAGCCATATTGTCTTTTTTCGCCGTCCGCATTACAATGAACAAAAGATTAAAGCAAACAAAACCCGTCCGCTGCTAAAGAAATCATTGTTCTCGTGGACGAAAATAGCCAAAGATGAAAACATGACTATTAATAGATGGCGAATATTGACCACATACTATATCAAGAGATAAAAATGAATAAGTTCGAGATGAATTGAGATGAGAATTCCGATGGATCAATTTAAACTTTTTTCGAACGAGAAAGCAAAGTAATTTTTTCTTGAAGACAACAAAGATTCGTGATTGTCCAAGTGTAACTTCTTGATAAGCAGAAACTAGAAGATCGCTAGAAAACCGATCAATTTTCATTATTGGCCCCAATCTATTGTTCTCTGATAATAGATCTGAATATGATATACACTCAAAAATAGCAACATCAATGATAAACATTTCTGTTTATCAGTAATAAAGAAATCAGCTTATTCTATTCAGTTATTGTGATGAATGTTCAATTTTCTCGTCAGTAAAGTAACTTTTCAATCATTTTCGATATTATTCTGTTCATTTTAAAAAATTTTCTAGTAAAAGAAAATTTTGTGGATATGTCTATGATATAGTTATTTCAGTGAAAAAATCCTTCTTATTCTTCAGTAGATGAGAATATTTATTCAATAAAATCTCAACCATATATTTCGAATAACATCTTTTCACTTTAAGATTTTTTCGAAGACAAGGTCAAGTAAACAACAACATCGAAAACATTTTCATTCTTTTTCTTTATTTTCTTTTTGTGAAGAAATCAAATCAGTGTATCAAATCTTCGAAAAATATCTATTTCATTCGAAATATAATAATAATAGATATACTCTACTAATAATTAATAATCAATGCTACATTTTTCTATTTTTAAATCATATGGATCATCACATATCGAACAGAATCAAATCTCTCTGTGTACACTTTATTGAAAATGAATTTTATTGGACAGATGTCAATTGATTTATCATTTTTTATCATTCGTTATCTCTTTTTCATCTTCGATATTGTTTTTCCTATTTGCAGTCGGAAAAAAGTACAAAAGAAGGAAGAAAAGAAAAGTAATGAAAGAATCATTCAACAAAAAGACGGAGCGATCTGATATATACTATAATCGGTGCAATCGAAAGATACGCGTCACTAAAGCAAAAGAAACTATTTTTAAATGTTATATACATGCATAAATATGATCATCATATTAAAAAGAATGGAGATAGATATACAATACATACTGATCATCATATTTATATAGTCGATGAACTGGGTGTGAGTGTGAATCATGGAAAAAAAGATTCATATCAATGCATTCACCCATAACCCACACCCCAAAAATCACAAAAGCGTTTGTGTCACGGCTCTTTCTTGCCGCAATATGATCAACTGTATGGGAAGCCACTAGACATAGGGAAAGCGTTTATGTGTACTTTACTTATACAGTGCAGAAGGGTGTGGGTAAATGTGAGTGTAAGTTGTGGATTAGGGTATGGGGTGTGGGTATTAAAAGAACAGCTACACTATAACCCAGACTCATACAAACCCAAATCCTCACTCACAGCCACACTCACAATCTGCTATATTAGTATTATATGTATCACTTCAAAGAGGATACAGTAATCTTGATTATCTCTAGGATTTAGTATAAACATTTTTTACTTGTGTTTCATAATTTATAATCTAGGATGTGAATGCAAATGTAGATATATTGAATGTAACCTTGATTATACTTGGTACTTAGGTTTTCGCGACACAACATGGCGATAAATCAATGACCATGCGGGGACAAAATGGATCTAATCCAGTAAGTAGTGTTAAATTTATTTTCATGGATTTTCATTAGTTCAATTTTGTCGTTCCGATAAAATTATAGAGAAATACTGACCTAAAAGCAAAATTTGGATAAAATGTAACTACATGGAAAGACATCAAAATGTAATCCTGATTTCTTGACTATTTCTAAGTTTTTCATATGCTACTTTTAACGCTCACTGTACAGATACGAGCGAAAACAAAAAAAATGATGCTGTCAATAATAAGTATACCTTTGCCTATGTTTTCAGTTTTTATTCGTCAGATTTTTCGCAGATTTCTGTAACTTGCTATACGTATTTTAAACTTAGGAAAGTAATTGACGAAAGAAACTGTTACATTTTTAACTACGAAAATACGCATAGAATTTCATTAACAACACCTTCTGATGCCTTGTGGAGCTAAAAGGTAAAATCAATTTTTGTTAAATCGTTAAATTTTTATCAGTTTTCCCATGTATAGTAGTACTTACAAATGAAAAATAACAGAATTATATAATCAACGTTATGGTCAATCGTTTTCGTGCAACTGATTTTCGTATTTGTATAAAAATAATAGGTATAGATTAAAAATATGGTGTGCTATTTTTTAGTCTTCAATAAAAATAACGATTTCTGGTTGTGGGGGTAGATATAGGTATAGGGTGTGGATGTGGGTGTGTTCTTGACGAACAGAATGATACCCCACTCGCACCCACATCTACACCCACACCAGAACACTTATACCCACATACTAATAAAATTACTAATTGTGTAATGAACCAAATGTGTAAAACAATTTTATTCTAGTTAAATTTTATTTTATCCATGTTCTCAAAGTAAAAGTAGCTGAGAGATCACCAGCAATTTGTTTGAAGCATGTGTGGTCAGCTGTCCGTTGCCCAATGCGCTTGCAATAGTTCATTATATATTCGCTCAAGTTGAAGCCGGTTGTGTCGCTGGTGTTCGTAAAGATACGCCATACCATTGTTTTGCTCACGTCGATTCGTACGTGCCTCCCGAGTACAGTAGTTGATATTTTCATTATTTACTTTGGATAAAAATGTACGTAAATCCCAATAAAATTCAGTTGTCAGCGAGTAACATTCAACTAATCGTGCTCCATACCTGTTCGCCCATTGGGTGGACAAATTTTCACCATTCGGAAAGAACAAAACATAAAACAAAACCATCGCATTTGGATGTAGATGCGCTTGAAGAAAGTTCTCAACACTATTTTGGTTCAGATGATCAACTATAGCTGCTGTCGGAAATTGGCGATTCGGCATTTCAAGCAGAGTGAGAAAACCAATGAGAGGTCTGACTACACTCGTGATATCGCCATATGGACGTAGATTTGTTTGAGGGTCGACAACACGCCCATTAGGATCAAAGACCAATGCTCGTGGCTCATTGTCAAACAGACCCACGGGAAAAGTGGTGGTACTAAGTTGTTGCATGTCCAAAATGAAAATCTTTCAGATATCTAACAGACGTACGTAAAAAAATGCACACATTCTTCTAGTAAACAATTATATGTGTTTTAAAGAAACAAATCGCTGATTTTATTGCACCTGAACTGGGAAAGAAAAGCTGTTTTTCATACTTAAACGATTATGAAATATATTTGCATAGATCTAATAGAGAAAAGATGAGGAAAACTTCGTTAGTTATTCATTAGTGAAATATTTTGTATAGTTTTCGAAGTGAACTGAATTTTCTTAGAAGAAGAACAAAGTCGATTAACCTACCGTACTAGTGGAAGAAACGAGTCACGTCGTTCTATTCACGTAATAAAGTCGACGAATATCAGTTCAAGATGATCTGAAATTAAAACCAAAACTCAAAACATATGATGAAACTCAATTTCAATGCTGGAATAGTCTTTGTTAGAAATACATAAAAAGTTTTTGCAGAGTTAGTCCAGATTTTCATTTTAAGATGTAAAGTTTCGAAACTTTTCCACAGTAGGCTTGTTCCTCCATCAATCAAATAAGAAAAATGCCTTCTGTTAATCATGACTCATATACAGTATATATGAATCCAAAAAAGTGCAGAAATATAAACTTAAGAATTAAATCAAAGAAAGAAATGATTGTCAATAGTATAGTTAAGAGAGCTCGGATGAGGTGTTCATTGCCTTGGTAGTATTCGCATGTCGTTGCAACAATAGAGTCTCATACTGTTTCAATGCTTTTGCTGAGCTTTTCTCGAGCATTTCGTAATATTTCGTTGATTTGTCTAGTAGGTCTTTCGCTTTCATAGTATCGTGTTCTTGCTTTCGAACACGTAGCGCTTCTTTTCGATAATGCTGAGCCAATTCATGACATAGTTCTTTGATGAGTTCCTCGATAGAATCAATTTCAATCACTCCTTCAGAAAGTGGAAATTGAACTCCAACAAGTTTTTCTGATGGTGGAAAATAATAGTATCCCATACATTCAGGTCGTCGAAATAAGTCGATACATGGAGGTTGCTGTGAAACGATTAAGAACGGTTGATTAGATGGCAGCCGGTCTAAACTGGTTCTGAGTTCATCAGTAGTGATACACATGATAACTTCAATAATATCAATCATATCATGCTTGAAAGATGATAAGTCTACATTGTCGCTGAATAGAACTGGATCACTATTCGAAAGGGATTGACTTGACGACAACTGGACAGCTTCTAGAAAGTACAAACGAGTGTTGTCAAGCTACATCTGTTTTGGTATTAGACTTTCTATGAAAATTTTCGATACAGCGAATGTCATCTGCATATGAGTTGTTAATGACAAGGGAATTCATTGATCATTAAAAATCAAGGGCATATATGCATGTGGGCACATGGAAACGCTGAAGTACTCATTGTATTCTCTTCATGATGGGGCGATTCGCTATACAAAATCAACATTGTTGTGAAAGTAAATGAGACTTTTGCTTCACATATGTTTTAGTGAAGGTACATAATGGAAGATGAATATCAAAAATCTAAAATACCTGTTCATATTTTTGAAGATTTTGTTGTAATAGCACGCTGACTAACGAGTATTCACTATCGTAGAACAAATGAATAGTTTTATTCCCGTTTTCATTTGTATCTTCACACCTATAGCTTTCCGTATGTTTTAATGCGTATTATAAGAAAAAGTCTACACTTGAACCTAC